AAATCCCGAAAACACGAGATCTCCGACGGATCGTACCCTCGACCCGACCCGAGCGTCCTAAGCCTCGAAGGTTAGTCGAGGCCCGGACAAAACAAACTTAGAGTTTTACGAATTTCAAGGCTTACTCAACAATGGAGTTACCTTTACTTTTCCACTCAAGGTTGTAACAAATCCCAATACCAAGCTTGGTATTTATAGGGAAATGTTGCCTTGATTCTCATTCCCCAACCAATGTGGGAGAATGATTTATTTGTCATTAATTTATTTCTAAAATAAATCAACAAACAAATGCAATCACAATTCGACAAGTGTCAAGGAGGGAGAGAGTGTTAGGTGAGGACCATGGAGAGGTGGGGGGACCAATGCCTTGGTCACCAAGGCTTTCCCAAAGCCTTGGTCCCCACTCTCCTCACAAACCGCCTCACCATGCATGCTGCCCAGCTGCCAGCTAGCGTGCCAGCTGGCTGTGCCAGCTAGCTCAGCATGCTAGCACTAGCCCAGCAGCATCGCTGATGCTCGCTGGTGCGTGCTGGCGCTGGTGGTGGCTGGTGCGTGCTGGCGCTGGCGCTGGTGCGTGCTGGCGCTGCTGCCAGCATCCCTCGCATCTTGCTACTCGCATGGCCCAGCATGCGTGCTGCTAGCGAGCCACGCATGCTGGCCTGATGATGCTCGCTAGCTTGCCAGTTCTTTGCACATACACTCTCGCATGCCCCATCGCACAGACACACGCACTGGCACGATGCGCCACGCACCACGCACTGCCAGCCCACAAGCAAGGCTGCTTATGCGAGGCTGCGAGTGCCAGGCCTAGCATCGAGTTGGCCCCCAGCCCTTGCGTGTGCTGTGATGCTTAGTGCTGCCATGCAAAGGCTAGCACTCAAGCATACGCATCTGCCGCGCCATTGCCAGGCAGCCAACCATGCTCGCACTAGGTGCTTGCGATGGTGCTGCCAGGCCAAGCACGCACGCACGCGGCACCTAGTGCTTGCGATGGTGCGCCTGGTGATGCCATGGCCCTGCGACAGGCGCCTAGGCTTGCGACAGCGCCCAGCCATCCTAGGCCACGCATGGTGCGCCTAGGCATGCGCATGAGCTTGCGATGGGTGTGGTGGCTTGCGATGCCTACCATGCGCACCCAGGCACCCATGCTAGCATGCGATGGGCTGCCTAGGCTATGATGGTGCCTAGCACACCATGGTGCGCCTAGCACACACATGGTGCACCTAGGTTGCGATGAGCTAGCCTAGCCTAGCTATGGCTACGCTCATGCTTGTCGATTGTGATTTTGCGACGCTCGGTATCGACGCCCTAGGCTCGATTTCCGACGTCTGTATTCGTAAAATTCTGTCGACTTATTAACTCCTTTCGGATTAATTCGACGTCTCGGATCGGAGATTCGATTGGGTTCGACCCGAAGGGTTCAGTTAAGATTAAGCTGTAATATCAATTGTACCCTGATATTACTGATCGGAAGCGGCCTCCACCTAGGCATTCCGATCACTTGACCTTACTGAAGAATTACCTCTGTAATAATTCTGAACCCTCTATCGGAATAATACACTTGCTGGAAGGACACCATTCCTTTCAATTGCCAGGCTGAAGCTGTGTGGCATAAAATCATTTGTATTGTACATTTTGTGCTCAAGTGCTGAAAATATGCATTTGATGATGTCAGGTCATATTTTGGGAAGTTTGTTTCAATAGATTTTGATCCTTATTGTGTGTTAGTAGGTGATGTATGTGGTGGTTTATCTGGATAAATCGAAGGGAAAATTGAAATGTAATACACATATAGTAGTTAAACACCAATTTCATTCATAAACTTAGAGAAATTTGACATAAGGATAATACATCTTCCATTCATAATTGGACCCAAAACATTACAATCAACCTCCATAATTAATTACCAGAAAAATACATCACTTCAACAAGATAATGACACAAAAGATTAGAACAACAATGAATATCTTCAAAACGTTCCTGAAGCAACTATGCATATCTCCCACAATCTTGTGAATTTCAGCAATGTCATCATCTGGAGAAGCTTCATGCTTCCTGACATCATCCTCAGTGACCCACGCAAAGAAACCACAGCCCTGACCTTTTCTCTACACTTTTAATAAGGCTTCTTAGGGTTTGAAATTGAATCGGAAAATCTGACCTCAGAATTTCTGGGAGGAATACAATTACAAGGCTTCATCTTCACCCAGGTGAAGCAGCCATTTGTAGCGCTCCTGGACCTTGAAGCAATTGCTTGATAATCCATCTCTTGCAAATTCACAAAGTCGAAATTTTTTTTAAGAACCCTAATTTATCGAAGAAAGGGGAGGATTTGAAGAGCTTGCAATGGTGTTAAACGCTTGAAATATAAGGAGGGAATGATTTAAATGGGGTTGGTTAGTAAATCACTTGATTAGAGTTAATAATCTAACGCTAACCGAGTGGTTAACCCATTTTAAGTGAGATTTGAAAGGAATGGTGTCCTTCGAACAAGTGTATTATTCTGATAGAGGGTTCAGAATTATTAAAAAGCTAATTATTCAGTAAGGTCAAGTGATCGGAATGTCAAGCTGGAGGCCGCTTCCGATCAGTAATATTAATGTATAATTAATATTACAGCTTAATCTTGACTGAACCCTTCGGGTCATACCCCAATCGAGTAACCGATCCGAAACGACGAATTAATCCGAAGGATTAGATGAGTCATTAGAGTATTACGAACAAAGACGTCGGATATCGAGTTTAGAGCGTCGAAACCGAGCGTCGTAAGTCGAGTCGAATTTAGAATTCGATGAGACTAGAAATCAAGCAAACGACAAGTTTTAAGCTAAGTCGTACTTCGCATTGGCCTAGCCATGCGAAGGCTAGGCTAGCATAGGGCACCAACCGCATCGCATGGCTGTGCCGCAAGCCAAGCATGCATGTGCGTGCTAGGCTTGCTGGCCGAGCATGCTTGCGGGAATGGTGCACCTAGTCGCACGCATGCTAGCAGCTAGCGCGCCATGGGTGCTAGCGTGCTAGTGTGCTAGGCCTCGCACCCAGCCGCAAGCATAGCAGTAGCTAGGTTGCGCCTAGCACGAGCATCGCATCAGCAGCAGCAGCACGCTATGCGTGCGTGTGCTATGGGCTATGCGTGCTTATGTGCTGGGCAGCGCCTAGCACAAGCATAAGCAACGTAGCAGTAGTAGCAGCCCGCATGGCGTGCGTGGCCTGCTGGCTGTGCGTAGGCATATGTGGGCTCGCTGGCAGACCCAGCCATGGTGCTAGGCACCAGCGAGGCTGCCTTGGCAGCCAAGGCAGGCTGCCAGCCAGCATGTGCGTGTGCCAGCATATGCGTGCGTGTGGGAGCTTGGTTAAGGGTTTTCTTGGTGAGCAAGGTGTGGATGGTCCCCCCTTGTGATCCTCACCTAACCCTTTGCTCACCTCTTGACACTTGGCGTTTGTTGATTCACTTGCATTTCAATTTGTTTTTGAATTAAAATAAATTGAATAGAGTGCATTTTACCAACTCTCCCACATTGATGGGAGATTGGAATTCAAGGCTCCCTTCCCTATAATACCAATCATTTGGGATTGGGAAGGGACACTAAAGTTGGGAATTTTAAGGGATCTCCAAGAAGAGAATAACTTAATTCTAATACTCTAAGTTTTCTTGGTCTAGCCCCGACAAAGCTTCGGGGTAGGGGTCGTTGGGGTCGGGTCTCGAGGGTGAGAGCCGTCGGAGGCTTGCGCATTTGCGGAGCTTTTACGCTTTCAAGTACGAGCTCTTAGAAAGAGCGAAGCACGCGTCAAGGGTAAGATCGTCTTTCCTTCTTTCTTTCTCCTTGTTAATTAATTATGTGATTTTTAATTAATTAATATGCATGATTAGTTACTTTAATTTGTGTGCGGATTTTGGGCGGGTTTCATTCCGCGTAGTGTTGGACACTACGAAACCCAACAAGATTTGGCCACTAAATAGAGTTTAATGAAAGTTTGGATTCACTAGATATTATGTGCTTTGATTTTTTTTTACACCAAATAGAATTTGTAGAAGTTGGAGGCCACCATGTAGAATTGAAGAGAGAGAATTTGAATGGTGGTTCAAATTTTATTTTATTTTTTTTTAATGTTTTTTAGGAAATTTTGCAAAAAAAACCACCTTTTATAAGCAATTTTTTGCAAGAAACCACCTTATAATTTATTTTTTTTGCAATGACACACCTTAATCAAATTTTTTTTGCAATGACACCTTAATCATATTTTTTTTTTTGCAATGCCACACCTTTGGCCGGAAAAGAGGGTTTGACCCTATTTCCCGGCGTTGACCCGACCACGTGCCGAGGCACATGACCTCTTAAAAATTTATAAGGTGATTTCTTGCAAAAAACTATTTATAAAAGGTGGTTTTTTGCAAAAATTTCCTTTTTTTAATGTAGTATGTGGAGTATAGATTGTTACTGTAGCAGGTGGGTAGTATATGGGAAGTGAGGAATTAGTGGGAGGAAGGCTGAACGGTACCGTTTTGCATGGGGGGTGTAGGTAGAAGACCCTACACTAGGGTGTAGGGCTCAACAATTAGCACAATGCGTTAACTGCTTTGCCCCTACTTTACGGTCCAATACTGTGGGCTACTTTGTTGGGCTGCTATATTGGACCCTTGTTGCCCAAATTTTTTTTAATTAAGTTTTCCTTCCTCTTCTAGACATATATACACACACATTATTATATATATATATATATATATATATATATATATATATATATATATAATATATATATATATATATATATATATATATATATATATATATATATATACAACACATTAATACGTAAATTATAAGAAATGAGAATTCATAATATTTTCCCCAAATTTTGGGTTTGTAAGAGTTTCTCTCTCTATCTTAAAATCAATAAAATTCTCAATTCCTCTTCATACATTCAAAGTTTTTCTGCATAATACATTTGATGAAACTTACTGTTTCATCAAATTCAATACAGTTTCTATAAGAAAACCATTGAATTTTGATGTGTATCATGTATCTTTTCATGGTATATATGCTCCAAGGTATATAAAGTTCACAGATAGGTTGAAGATACAGATTACAGATTGCGCTACACACTTCATCCGCTGACTCTCACTATAACAATTAGAGAGAATATAACTTGGTTTCAGTCAAAATAGCAGAGCTGAACCCAATGTTTAGTTTCAACCCCAAAGAGGTCAATAATTTTTTAAACTTGCAGTCTAAATCAATTTGGAAGTTGGGAAAAAATAAAAAGGATAAAAATTGGTTAGGGTATTGTATCAGCTCACAGATTTCTGTTGGAGAGAGCTTGGATGTACTTCTGCTTTATAATGCACAATGGCAGACGGCGGTATAGATCCGATACAAATCTCGTGTATTGTTCTGAAAAGGGGAAATGAATCAAACCATCTGTTGCTTTCTAAGACCTCGTATACCTCTTTGGCTGTCGAGACACCCTTCAAGAAAATAAAGACAGAGGCTGCTATAAGTGGAATAAACATCATCTACTGTATCAGAAAATTATATTGCTGGTCAAATAATTAAAAAGAGCATCCGAGATATTGATCAACTTCTCTCTAGAATCAGGTGCTTTAAACATGCAGTCTAACATTGTCTTTTAAAATGTATATATTTCATTTTCCATATGCATCCAATGGATACGAAGATTTTTAACAGTCTACCTGTAATTTCTGCCCCTGCAACATCTCAGCTTCCAGCTCCTTAAAGGGTCTAGCACGATTTAAATTTAACATTAGATTAGCATTTGCCTGAAACAATCAATCACCACAAAGTATTCACTGTAGGGAAACATAAAAAAGTTTTACAAAATCTATACCTCTTTCCTCCATGAATTGCAAAAGCCTCTGCAACTTTTCTGTTCCTTCCTCCAACTGTCAAAGGAAAACCATTGAGCATATAAAGTTGAAAAAATGTTTTAAAAAAAGAAAAACAATCAATCAAACAAGAATGTGAACTGAGATTTTACAACAAGTAGCGATAAGATCAGCCACTCCACAACTCTCAAAGAAAGTGTCCTCTCTAACCGATGGGAACAGTCGCTTGGAGAATGCCCTCATTTCATTCAAGCCAATTCTCATGATTGCTGCCTGAAATAAACCATTCTGATTACTCTTGCAGCCACATGTGACCTACCAGCAACAAATCTAGCTAAATAGACCGTTCTGATTACTCTTGCAGCCACATGTGACCTATACCAAGCAACAAATCCAGCTAAATAGAATTTTACAGCATTTTGAATATATTTTGGACATTTATTTACTTTTGAAATACATTTTGAGCCATAGAATATTTACACACAAAACTTTGCTTACTTTTGAATTACTCCCCATATCCAAGCCATCAACAAATCCTGTAAGTAGAGCACATTATCCATTGAATGCATTAACACTTATCAATAATCTTCGATGGGAAAGAACAAGTGCTAAAAGAATGAAAAACCTGCAGCTATGGCCACTACATTTTTTAGTGTACCACATAATTCCACTCCTTCCACATCTTGAATCTGTTTTTCATGAAACAATTATAATGGTGTATGTGAGAATGTGAGGAGACATAGCGCAGATGGAATAAATCATGAAATGTTCTATTTTCAGAAGAGATTCCAAAGAAAAAAGAACAAACTCACAGCTGTGACAGCAAAATAGGGTGTGGCAAATAGTCGAGCCCACCTCTCTGCAACCTCTTTATTTTCACTATATCCTAATGTTGCTTCACTAAACTTCTCCTCAGCTATCTACAAAAGAAGAATCAGTTATTTTGATTACCCAAGGAAAAGATCAATAGGCCATACCTCATTCAAAGATACATTAATAAAATAAACAAATAAATAAAAAATTGTTTAATTACCTCATCAGCAATATTTGCCCCCATTAAAACACAACAATTGACTCCAAGTTGCTTAGAGATTACAGAGGATATCATGTGTGGGCCGTCAACTTTGACCTCCATGCCTTTAATCAATGAAATAGCCTCGACATCACCCCTTAGTTTTCCAGCAAGTCTCTTACAAACACCATCGACAAATTGATGTGGTGTCACGAATACCAGCATGTTAGCATCTCTGACTGCACACAATTCACCCAGCCAAAACAATAAAATGAATTAAAAAGAAAAAATACCATTGACTATAATGATTAAAGAATATACAAGTTAATCTTGAGTAGAGCTTCTAAAGAGAATAATATAAACCCACTCTACCAAGCCAAAATTCTCATTTTATATATCTTTAACATTGTGACAATTGGATATTGAGTACTAAAAAAATGGCATCTTAATTTACCATAGTTTCATTTGTATGTATCAAGGCTGAACCAGTAAATTGAAACTCTGTATTTGTAGATGTCTACACAGTTTGATGCTTCTTAATGAACATATTAGCCTTTTATTGTCAAATCTCTTGGTACAAAAATACACCTAAATATTAAAATTGTAATCACTACTAAGAGGCATTATGAATATTTAAGGAACTCTAAACAATATGTAGAAGAGAAAATTGGAAATAACTATTCTAATTCCTCAATAACATGGTAGCTAACTTTTTCCAATTTCCCTCCTGAAATTAATTGTTACATAGTCCCAACCATTCAAATCAAAGAACTTGACATGATTCACATACATATCTTTTAGTAGTTGATTTAACCCCATTCTCTCCCCCATACCACTTGCTATAGTAAGGATACATTTTTTAAAAAAATATATAAGAAATCAATCACAAACCATTACAGCTTCAAGAAATAAGACAAATCTTTTCGAGCTATCCTCAAATAGGAATCCCTCTATTGATTAATAACATTCATGTATTTATTTTTGTGATGACCACAAACAATCCAATTATCTTATAATAAAAACTTAACTCACCCAATCCATGTGGACCCACTCACATACTCTTTTTCTCTCATATTCTCACTTCATATTTCATGTCATGTGGTCCTCTCACCACTAATTATCTTTAATCAATCAGTTTTTAGTTATTTTTATTACCCCCATTATCGACCAAAAAACTTACCACACCTTTAAGGGGTGTTTAGTTCACGAATTTTAGGTATTAGGTATGGATTTCCACATGTGTTTTGTTGACAATAATAAGAATTTTAATTCCATCAAACCAATACTTTAGATACCAAATAACAGGAAAAAAAAAAAAAAATCATTTTAAAACCAAATCAAATGCATGGTATTACTATCAAATTCTAAACTAATTCCACCGTCGTGATTTCATTCCTGATTCCAACCTCATACCTCTGTGCAAACAAAACTTGTTCAATATTTGCAAACAAGTGAAGTATATGTGATCCATAATTTCAAGCAAAGAAAATATATAATACCTGTGGTATGGAGGTCCGGGTCAGCAATCACATTTCTACCAAGCTCTATGCCAGGGAGGTACTTCACATTTATCTATGAAAATACCCAAAAATAAACATCCATAAATGACAAATGATCCATCTCATCAAGCAATACTACCAATTAAAAGGATGATGTGATTATATCATATTCCATTCACTATCAATACTCCATCTCCAAATAAAAGTCTCATATGCTTTTAACACACATTTTTATGATGGTAAATTAAAAAATATAAGACAATAGAATTTGGTTAGTTATATATATATATATAAATAAATAAAAAAGCAAGATATTGGGGTTTTGTTAATTTAAATTTGATAAAAATAAGATAGTGGAATTTGGTCAATTAAAAGCGAATAAAAAAATAAATAAAAGTATAATGAAACATTTATTGAAAGACAAGATCTTTAGAGTTTAGGTGAAATGATGGGACGAAGCAACTACAAACAAATGTTAATTTCATTTATAATAAGGTTTCACTATATACATAAACCTAAGAGTTAAGCATAAGCATTAGGCCTTATTGTATTCGACTAATATTGAGTATATTAACTTATGTCAAACAAAATAGATAATAATAGTTTGAATAAGTTCAAACAAATTAAGTTAGGACATACTCAAGAGTTCAACAAACTTTAAGACAAAATAAGGTCAAAAAAACTACTTACGAAATGTAAGATAAGTTTAGACAAATAAGTCCAATAGAATAGACCCTTCAACTTATTTCCAAACATAGTAGTATAGTACTCCCTGGTCCTTCTTCCCATTTGGAATCTTGACACTATTCATAAGTTGAAAAAATCTTCTAAATTACTATCAATACATGGAAAAATAACAGTCATGTTGGATCTTAATCGATTCGTCTCAATGATTAGTTTACTAATATTCAAATGTTATATTCTTTACTAATATCCAACTATAGATATATATGATCAAACGTCAAAGTAATGCATTGGCACACGTAGACAGTCAAAATGTGAATAACATTTAGGATCAAAGGGGTATCAATTTAGAATTCATGATACAACCTCCAAGTGATTTGTGCTACTAATACTTTAATTTTACATGGGCCGAGATCATCTTCATAATAATTCATGATCTTTATCTCATAAATATTACTTTGTCTATGGATTAAAACATGAATATAACACAAATATTTCACCTTACATTGGTTTGATTGATAACATTGGACAATTTCTCTCCACTGGGCAATGTTTCATCAAATACCCACATCCTAACTTCATCTGATGGACATCAAAAACATCAAAAATCAATATAAATTTCCAAAATTTTAATCAATTGTATACAAAAATTTGCGGGGAAAAACAAAAGAATGTTTTGATATTACCATGGAAGATGTTGTAATTAAGGGTATTGGATGCAATTAGCTTGGCAGCAACACTTCCCCAGTTGCCGCTGCCAATAACAGCGACTTTGTATTTATCTGGAAATTCTTCAGCTTTCATGGAGGTGATTATTACAGAAAATGAGGAGAGAAGTTGAGAGAGATTTGGTTTTGTGATAGATTGTGCATGTTTTTGTGTAGAAACTACTTTCTTACGGTATCTTAAAATATACTTTAACCTTTACGAGAAAAATACGAGTTTATCATCGGATTTTTGACAAAAGTAAGCTTTTGTAGGAAAATATTTACGAAAGTGGTCTCGTGGCAAAAGTATTTCCCAAACTAAGCTTCTGGGGTGAAACGCTGTCTCGGACAGCGTTTTACCCCCAGTTTTTTATTAAAAAAAAATTCAAGAACTAAAACGCTGTCTGAGACTGCGGTTTATGTATTTGATTTTTTCTCAACCTTCGTATTTCAAATTTTAAATACAAAATACTTTTAAATGAAACGCTGCCTCAGGCAGCGTTTATTATACAAACATAAAGCGCTGTCTGAGGCAGCGTTTTGTTCTGTATAATAAACGCTGCCTCAGGCTGCGTTTCTTGCGGGACTTATAACGAATTCCAGTGGGTTTTCTTCTCAATCTCACGAAAGCAACTTACACTCTCTCTCACTAACTCTCATTCTCACAAACACCGAACCACCGCCCTTGCCACCACCGCCCCTGCCGTCGCGAAAGTGACCTAAAGTTGTTGCCGGCATTGTCTCACTCACTCACTCTTTAAATCCGGGTAAACCCTAAATTCGTAGTACAATGTTGAATTTTACATTGAATAGTTGGTAGTTGATAGATGTTGTATGTTGTAGCACATTGTGATGTAAATTGAATTATGTTGTTGATAATTAGTAATAAAATGTGGAAAATTTGCGTTAATTATTGATGAAAATGTGGTACATTGTTGAGGAAAAATGTGGACGAAATTGTTGATTAAATTGTCGACGAAATTGTTGATGAAATTGTGAATGATAATGTGGTTTGTTGTTGATGAAATTCTTGATGAAATTGTTGATGGTAATGTGGTTTACTATTGTGAAAATAATGATGAAATTGTTGATGGTAATGCGGTATTAGTATGTTGATAGTTGTATGCGGTAGTAATAGTTAATGAAATTGGTGATGAAAATGTTGATAGTGAGAATGGACTTGTTTCATTATTGTCATATTAGCTACACATGTAGGTTCTCGAAATTTGATATGACTTTCCATTGTGAAAGCTATGTATGTTATGTATTGTTAAATAAAGGTTTTTATACGTTGGTTTAGAATTCGATTATCCTTAAATGTGTTTTGGTTGGTATGTAGAATATGGCTACACAAAATGTTGTGTTGTTATGCCGGTGGGGAGGTGAAATTATGTGCGATGGATCAAATGTTGAGTACAGTGGAGGGAATATGGAACTTATAACACTTGAACCGAACATGACTGTGAATGATCTGATGAATGAGGTTCATAGTAGTATCGGGTCAAACCCAATGAATGTTGAACTGAACCTTAAAATGAGGTGTGAGACTGGCCGTGGGGTTCAAGTGTTACCTGTCTCCATCGGGTGGGCTACAGAGAAATAGATCGAGGGCTTATCACTGCATTAGTTGAGAGATGGAGACAGGAGACGCACTCCTTCCATCTACCGGTGGGAGAGGCGACTGTCACGCTGCGGGATGTCGCGATACTCACGCGCCTTCCCATACATGGGAATGCGGTGACAGGGGGTGGGTTGGTTGACCCCGCAGGTTTAGTAGGTCGGGTTCTAGGGGTTCAGCCAGAGTCGAGCGAGATCAGGGGCACCGCGCTGAGGATAGGTTGGCTACGCGACACTTTTAGTGTCCTACCTCTGCACGCTGACGACGCCACAGTGCAGAGATACGCTAGAGCATACTTGTTCCTGCTGATCTCCGGCGTGCTCTTTGGAAATAAGAGCGGAAGCCATCTTCAGATTATTTACCTACAGCTGTTAGACCACGACTGGGATGAGATCCGTGGATACAGTTGGGGTAGTGCTTGTTTGGCGGTTTTGTATCGCCATCTGTGTAGAGCATCCCGCCGTGGAGCAGCTGAGGTCGGAGGTCCTTTGATTGTGCTACAGGTAACCCTCATCATTATCCTTGAGCCTAGTTTCATAATGACTGACGTTACAATACGTAACCCTTTTTTATTTCCAATAGCTATGGGCTTGGGAGCACATCCATGTGGGGAGACCAGGTAGGCCTGTTGTACACCGTCCGGGGCAGCAGGACCAGGACGGTGAGTACGCACCGTATGAAGCTCCCCCGCTTCCTGGACCCGAAGAGGCATACGGTTGTAGGTGGGTGGTTCCTAGACTGACATATGCGCATACAGCGAGAGGTGTTCTGTACTACCGTGACGCCCTCGACCGACTCACGGAAGAACAGGTGAATCTTGCAACAACTTTTCATGGTTGTCGGTGGTGGTGGAAAGGTTGGGGCTGGTGGTGGGAATGCTCTTGCATTGTTCAGGGTGTTTTGCATTGCATAGGGTTGGTCGAGAATGGTGCCCAGTGGTGGGGGTGGTGGTTGGTGGTTGTGGTGGTGGTGGTTGTCGTTGGTGTGAGTGGTGGTTGATGGTGGTGGTTGTGGTGGTGGTGGTTGTCGTTGGTGTGAGTGGTGGTTGATGGTGGTGGTTGTGGTGGAGGTGGTGGTTCATAATGGTGAGGGTGGTGGTGGGTGGTTGTGGGGGTGGTGGTAGTCGGTGGTGGGAGTGGTGGTGGTAGTTGTGGTGGAGGTGGTGGTTGATGATGGTGTGGGTGGTGGTTGTTGGTGGTGGATAGTGGTGGTGGTTGATGGTGGTGGTGGTTGTTGGAGGTGGTGGATGGTGGAGGTTGATGGTACTGGCTGAGGCTGGTGTGCAAGGGCAGCAGCAGATGGACAGGAACAGCAGCTAGCTGCTGTTGATGCAGTCCAGCAGTAAAACGTTGCCTCATGCAGCGTTTTATGTAGTGAATAAAACGCTGCCTTAGGCAGCGCTTTACTGTAAAACATAAAACGCTGCCTGAGGCAACGTTTTACTCTGTATACATACATAGTAAAATACTAAAATACCAACAGAAAGTCAAACTAAATAAACCGCAGTCTCAGACAGCGTTTTAGTTCTTGAATTTTTTTTTAATAAAAAACTGGGGTTAAAACGCTGTCCGAGGCAGCGTTTCACCCCAGAAGCTTAGTTTGGGAAATACTTTTGCCACGAGACCACTTTCGTAAATATTTTCCTAAATAAGCTTACTTTTGTCAAAAATCCTTTATCATCATCATCAAACCGAAAAAAAAAAAAAAAATAAAAAAATAAAAAAAAATCCCATAGTTGTTTTAAAATTAAAGAGAAAGGGAAGAAAGTTGAGGAGGAAATAGATCTATATTTTTATTACTGAATGATATGAGAGTACATATATATATATACACACATATTATACAATTAGGGTTTCCTTGTAGAATAATAAATCTATTATCTAGAATATCCAAGAATAATCATAGGGGTATAATGGGCATCCACTAAATACATATATTATATAACACTCTCCCTTAGATGACCATTATCGAATAGTGTGCCTCGTTAAAACCTTACTAGGAAAAACCCTATGGGATAAAAACCTATTGAAGGAAAAAGAGTACAACACTTTCGTGATACGTCTTTTGATGTTGCCTCATTAAAAACCTTACCAGGAAAACCCAATATGGGGCAAAACCATGGTTAAGGAAAAAAGAGTGCAACGCGTATTTTCTCCCCCTGATGAATGCATAGCTTGAGATCTTCCAAGTCATCTGACGCTTTCGGGTAACTTGCACAATGCACTTGTAGTAGGATAACAAACATTCCGATTCTTAATAGTTGATCCTAATTGAACTTGACCCTTCAAATCTTCAATGTGAGAGATATCTTTATTTCTTCATACTTGTGAAAATAATACAAACATGTGTTCCATTTACCAATCTTATATATTTGATATTTGTGTTTCAAGTTGCCATAGCCATTAACTTATGCCTTCTTCTGGAGGTCATATAGAGTAGCTGTATATTGATAATCAAATATTGATCATAATCTATGGCAACTCATAATATCATCAACATCATTGTACAATCTTATGAATTATTAGTAATATAATGTATTGTAAGTAATCATATAACTTGCTCATGATTCTTCTGGATCATAAGAAGTTTATTCTCACTATAAGATTGTAACATAAAATACCTCATTGTTATTTATTTTTTTAGACATTTTGTAATAGTGTTCTCTAATGAATACAAAATCTAATTAACTTTTACATACTTAAACTTCAGGTTGAGATGTCAATAATTTAGTCATCAATACTCTTCGGGAGTTTGAAAATAACTTCAACACTATGATATTCAAAATATAAAAACTGAAGGGCTAGATATTTGAATAAATAGTATATAAGTTCTTCGAGAACTTCTCAAGCATGATTCATAACATGTTATTAAATCGTCATCATATAGAATTTCATCATAACTATAAGCCCATCTGAGTATAAATTTCTTCTTGTAAGCCTTCATCATAATTGTAAACTCGTCATACCATATTTTACACAAACATTCACATATACCACGATTATTGTATGAAAACTAGAATATGTAATATGAAATGTATAATTCTTGATATATATGGATGATGCAATTGAACAAAATATGCATAATGAATTATGCATCTAATGACTTCCTACACATGCAATAAATGATAATTTACCTATGACTCAAACATGCACATAAAAGACTCAAAATGCAAAACACTGTACAATGTGGATTTTAGAAATCCATATTTTTGCTTGGTCTTCTGGTCCATGACAAACTTTTGATCATCATCATTTACATTTCGTTGGACTTCTAGTCCATGATAAGCTTTGATTGTAATTAATGTGTCGACATCAAGGTGGACAATAATTTTAGATCTCTTATTTTAAGTCCACCCATTCTGCATATGCATAATAACCATCAGTTCCATCACATACCGGTATCATAATATAATTTGAGATTCAATTTTCACTCGCATGCTATTTTACAATGATATCTGACTTCATTTCTCATTGGTACCATCATAACTTTTCTTACATCATAGGTCATCTATTATAATAATTCAGATATCTATACCACTTTTGGGGTATTTCATACACTATGGTATTTATATACTATTACAATATTAAAAGTGTCAACTGCA